AATGAAGCCATCTGGTGAACCTGTTAAGGCTATCTTCAGATTAAATGTCAAAAGCAGAACTAAAGATCTCCCTTTATTCATACTTACCTTTTAACTTCAGACATTTCTCTATAGATTTTTTCCTCTTTCGTCCTTAGCATAAGGATTCGGCCTTGGGCTTATCTCACAAATGGAAGAAACCCACAAATAAAATCAGCAGTGCTCTGTCCAGGCAGTACCTGAAGGGAAAAGGTTTGAACACTTCCTCACTCACCTCTGAAGAACATTTAGCATCCCTAGCACATTATCTCCAAAACTTTTACAGTTGATCTGTTACACATTTGACAGCATTTGCTGTACACCAAGCTTTGAAAGTATAAAGCTTAATCTTAGTAATAGCATCTTCAAAAAACAACTAAGACCAATTTGCTTGAAAATAAAGAGAAAATATCACCAGCCAGCTTCTGAAACAAAGCTGCCTGCTGCTTGATCTGGATGGAGAGCTCTGCAAAACAATTAAAAAGATGCATTTACAATCTATGAAGTCACAAAGTCAAATTTTATGTCAGTCCATGTAATGTGCAAAATACTTGGAAAATAATGCAGCATTTAGAATCTCAGCATTCCCTTGTACAGTGCACACACAGAGGACTGGGACAGGATGGTCCCATGTCTGAAATAAAGTCAATAATCAACCCTAAGACAGAAACACATCTACATTTATGGTAAGGTTATGGTGATTGGCTGTAGGAGCCACCAGGCATCCAGCCAATTTGCTTTTCGAGTCTAAGGAAATGCTCAGTTTGTTTGAAAAATGCTTTTTTTTTTTTTTCCCCTGCTGTGAAGAATGCATTGACGTCATCAAACTGGGTCTGTTGAACAAAAGCATGGACCCAGGGTAGTGTCAGGATGTTAAATTATGAGAAAAAGGACACATATCTGTTTCGATTTTCTTTAAGAATGGCAGGGTTTATGGCCAGTTCTCCTGTATCTCCTTCTCCAGAAGAGAACTGCTAGAGGACACAAGTCACTTGCTGTGAGTTTCAGTTTCCACTCTGTTTGGTTCCAGGCTGGGCTTTTGTTTCCATTCTGTTTTCTTGCTAGTGTGGGTTTTTTCAGATAAACAGTAGCATCTCTGTCTCCACAGGTGGGTATATCAGGTCACTGTTACTTTTAAAAGGAGTACACTGCATGCCAGAACACCCTGATCTGTGATTTGATGCAACACCAGGTAGCACCCTTATGAAAAATCCCCACAGGGTCTTCATAAACCCCTCTGGTCACACGCTGCTCTCCCTCTTCTGTGCTGGCATGTCAGCTTCTCCACACAAAGAACAGGGTGTCAGGGCCAACAAAGTGCTTCTCTACCACATCACGTTACAAAGAGCCTTTCACTGCACCACAAAACCAGGGGATTGGAAGTAGTGGTTCACAGTGGTTTATGAACAAAGGGTGTCAGAATCTGGCCACACCACACTGCAACAAATAGCCATATTTACAGTGGTTACAGATCTTCTCTGGTCTTTGAGGCCATAATGCAAGGGGTGCAGCAAGGTCACTGTTCCAATGTTGTTTTGAAGATCTGTGAAAGTGTCATAAAACTGTCCTGGCCAAGAGCTCATTATTTAAATACTGATGCAACTCTAATAATTTCCCAATAGTGTTAGCTGATGTTTGTGACATGAGTCACATCACTGAAGAGGTTTGAATCAAAGATGAAGGAGATATCATCGAACTGCATGAGTAATGGATCACTCACCCTAGTACTTGAACAAAAAGCCAAAAGTTGGCATGAACAGCCAACGAAGGTTGGTTGCTCTTGAACATACATGAGGGAGAGGAGAGGCAAAACAGGAAAGCAAAAGAAAACAAAAGACAGAAACTGAAACAAACAAACTAAGAAACAAACCAACAATGGTCTTCCAATGTGTATTTTAGGTCAAAGGAGAATTTAAGTTTGATGGGACTACTTTGGTCAAGTTATACTACACAGTTAATCTATTGCCCAATCTTAGTACAAAAGAACTGCTAAAGATTACAAAAATGCCAAAATCTAAACAAAATATTAAAAAAATTAAAATTAAAAATTTCTAATAATTTAACAGAGAAAAATGTAGTAGAAAGCAAGTCAGATCTTATGCTTCCTCCCCCATTATTTTCCCTCTGGAATATAAATATGGATTCAATATTCTGAGGTGAGACCAATATAATGCACAGGGCCCTTAATTATGTGTTATTGCACCTTGACAAGTTTTTCTTCACCTGGAGAGACTAGGTAAGTTTACCTTCTCAGAAACTTAGCAATCCACAATATCATAATACATCAACAGAATCAGCTTGCTTCTTTAGGTGCAGCAGCTTTCTGGAGAGGGAAGAAAACGTTTGATGCCAGTTAAAGTGTGAATAACAATTCCAAATCAGAAACACCAAATGCAAGAATACTGTCACCATGTGTGTCCAAAATTATTCCCTGGCTGGTTTTGCTCAGAGCAGAATTTCCTATGAGCAGTGTACATGTGACATAGGACAACAATTACAAGGGGGAAAAAGAAACACAATGCACACCTACACACAAATTAAATCATCACAGTAAAAAAACAAAAAAAATTACTTTATTTCCAGAACCTTACATTTTTAAAGCTGGAATTGCAAAGGAGCTAAAAAGTGTGTGTTCCTCGAGTTGCATCCTGCCCCAGCCTGACCCCTGTTCCCACATTAGGCGAGGCACAAGGCCATCTGCTGGCAGAGAGAAACTGCAGAGCCTGTATTGCTCAGCAGGCCGCTGCTGACACAAGAACTAAGCTTTAGCTGAAGGGTGAGTAAAGAAAAGAGTCAATGCTGCCACTTTTACCAGCTGAAAAGAAGCTGCTGCAACACAAGGAACAGAGCAAAGATGAAAACACTGGCCTTATAGTCCTCACTGATACCAACTATTTGTTTGACTAGTCTCACAGTTAGAATAGTCAAACTGTAGGATCACATTTACAGGACATATACTAAATGAACCAGCCTAACCTTCTGGAACTAAAGAACAATGTCATCTTTGTGGATAAAAAAAGCTGATGTTGCAAGAATAAAGAAGCAGAAAAGTTGCTGACAAACACAGGGGGGTCAACTCGAGTAAAATGACACAGCATCTACCAATTAGATGAAGGAAAAGATGCATGCTTGCCTCATGGACAAAGCAGAGCGACCAATCAAGAGATGCATGGACAGAGCAGAGCTACCAATTAAACAGTGCGTGACTGTGTAGGCCAAGATAAGAAGTAAATATAAAAAATGTTTAGAAGCACCATAAACAGCTTTTGCTTGATTCACATTAAATCATGCAGAGGCCTTTGTCTTCTCATCAAACAACAAAAAAGTCCTCCAAGCACATTTCTCTTTCTTCATTATATATATAAAAACCCCCCACAACTATAGTTATTAACTACATAAGGTACGACTTCACGTCACACGCAGGCACTTTTGTTTTGACGTGAATCTGATAGCTTCTCAAAGCTCCCTACCTAAGAGAAAAACAGCTCACCGCAAAGAAGCTACATGCACACAGTCATCACACCCTGGGGGCAGGGAGGAGTGCAAACCACATGCACCCCACAGACTAGAGTGACATCAGAGGAAGGTACCGGGCAAATAGTGCGAGAGGCACACCGAGGTGCCGCTGAACCCTGAGCAATGCCTGCTGAGGGCCCGGCCACATTCGGTTTGGATTTTAGGGCAAAACACAGTCCCCTGGAGCGATGGATCTGGAAACAATTCTACCAAGCTTTCTGCTGCACCAACGATCCGGATCTGGACAACACTGCTTGCAGTCCCTACTCCACCCCTACCCGCACGCAAATTTCCGCTAAAATTAGCAGCCTCACAGACACGCTGCTTTGGGTTTGCCCAGTAGGAACCAGAGACGTGTAACACAGGCACTGCACACAAGAGAGATGCCTCTCCCTCCTTACATTCCATACTGCCACTGGGAAGGCAAAAAGTGGATTGTTCAAGGCTACTCCAAAGGCAGCATCTCTAAAAGTGTGTCAGCAGTACTTTTGGTTCATCCGGAAGTGGTTTAAAAGCCTGAAGTATTTAAAACAGGAGCTATTTTTTTGTCGATGCTATGTATTGCAGCTAAGAGCCCCATACTAGCAGAAAAGTAGAAGAGTTTTTGAAAATCTGAGTCATAAACCACTGAAAAATGGTGTTTAAAATGAAAATGCCATCTCGATTGCAACCATGGTCCTCCCAAGGCAATCGAATCATGTCAAAACCTGAAAGATGAAAACACATATCGATAACTAACTCCATCACGTCATTTCTAACTCTACAAAGGAGGCCAGACTACCAGCATTTCAAACCTCTGAAAGCTCGCAGGAAAAACACAAGAACTGACTGGAAATAGGCAGAAAATAGAAGTCACGGGCTTGCGCAACCCTTTCAATAAGACAGCAAAGGGCAGTACTGCCTGCTGCAGTGAGTTTAGCCTGTCCTGAGTGCCTGCTCCATTCTACCCATACGGGACTGCCCGCCCTTGGCAGTACTTGAAAAACAGAGTTTCTGCCCCGGTAGGGAGGCAATAGCTCCACCCAGCACCTGAAGCGGAGGAATCGAATGCGTCATTCCCAGCACTAAGGCTGCTGGCTCGGTGACCTCGGGGCCGTGCCTGGCACCCCGAGCTGCCGAGTGGGTGTCCCCGGCCAAGCACCCGCGGTCCCCGCGTCCCCGGGACACCCGAGCGGGAGCTCCGAGCGCTCTCTCCCGGTCACCGCGGGGCTCGGGGCTGTCCCGCCGGTGTCCGCGGCTCGCCCGGCGGCCGGAGCCCTGCCCGGGGCCGGATCACCGCGCCCGGGCTGCCGTGCCCCACGGCCGGCCCAGCCCAGCCCAGCCCCCCGCTCCGTGCCGAGCCGGGCCGTGCCGGGGGCGGGCCGTGCCGTGCCGTGCCGTGTTTGCCAACATGGGAGGAGCGGCGGGGCATGGGAGGGCACAGGCAGCTCGGGCTGTCCCGCAGGAACGGGCCACTTCCCGTCGGAGAGTGCCGGGCAGCGGCGGCATGGGGACAGTGCGGGACGGCGGCGGCGTGGCCCGAGGGTTCCTTGCCCTGCTCCTCGTAAGTGTCCGCCCCAGCGGGGCGGCGGGCGGGCGGCGGGGCCGGCGGGGACGAGGAACGCGGCGCCGCGGGGCGGGGAGCGCTGCCCGGCTGCTGCTCGGCACCGGCCGTGGCAAACTTGTTAGCGACGTTTCAGTCAGCTCGTTGGGCGATGTTTTAAGTGGAAAAAACTCATTTTCAAGTTCAGGCAGTTCTGAAGGGTGCTCAGTGAGGTGCGTGTTGTGTCAAGCGGACGGAGGAAAAGGGGGATGGATGCAGGTGGCTGTAGGTGGGGGCACCCAGGGACAGCTGGCGCTGGTCCGCAGGCACCCACAGCGGCCGGAGCCGCGGGCCAGGCAGGTGCAGAGTCCCCGCTCCGCCAGCACGGGGAGGTGCGGGACGTGCCCGGGCTAAAACCGGGCTCGGTGGGAGCCGACCTGCGCTGCACCTCAGCCGATCCCTACCAGCGAGCAGGGAAAGCAACATAAAAGCAAATACCTGTGGAGCAGGAGTTCCATAGAGGAGAACCTCTATGACAGCGGCCCAGGAGAAGCCAGAGGAATGGTCCAAGCCTGGCGTCAGCATTTACTGGAATCAGTAGGGCAGGGCCTTCCTTTTTGCATGAGCCATGCCTGTGCACACAGTGAGTCCCTTCTGAGAGCTTCCGTCTCCTGTCTCTCTCATCAGTAAAGTTACCTTGACAAAGATCCATTCCGAACGGCCGCCGTCAGCAGCAGGGAAAGTAAGGAAGTATCAGTGTGTGTCAGTGGTCAGCACAGGGTCTGCGCTGGTCCGGGTGCGTTGCTGCAGCGGCAGGGAGCTCCAGGGCAGCACACCTGGGCAGGTGCAGGGTGTGTGGCTGCCCTGGCTCGGCCTGTGCCCGGGCAGAGCTGCCCTGAGCCCAGGGATGCCGGGGGATGAGGCGGGTGGCAGTGAGCCCTGCTGGACTGCACAGCCACCTGGAAGTGTGCCTGCAGAACACACTGCTAACCCAGCCCAATTCTCCCGTTCCAGAGACACCTCGCTGCAGCTGACCGAAGTATCTTCGCCATGTGGTTTTATTGCTAAAAAACGCAGTTTGTTTTGTGATTTGTCAGGTTAAAGTCTAGTCTTAATGTATAAACAAATCAAATTGTGATCTGACCAACTGCATAACAGGTTGGTCAGATCACAATTTGATTTGTTTATACTCTATCCATGCCCCTGCACAAATCATCAAAGCATAATTAAATACAAAGGAGGATTCTCCTCTGCTGACAGAAGTGTGTATTACCTTTTCCTGTACAGGAGCAGCCAACTAGTGACAGAAACATCAGTGTAGCTCAGTATGTTAGAACAATTCAGAATATATATCTTAAGATTAAAAATAATTTCATTTATAACACTGCTCCAGAGAATATATATATTTTCTCTTATTTTCCAGTTGTTTCCAAATTTCAGTATATCTTAGAAAGACTGTAGCATTCCTACATAATCTCTATTTTTAAAAAGGTTTTTGTTTTAATTAGCATGTTGTTTCACTGCTTATAAAATAATAAACATGGTCAGAGTTTGGCATGTTATTTCATTAAACCAGAACATGAAAACAGTTTGTTAAATGAGACCTCAATTTTGCAAGGAATCCCTGCTACACTCAAGGGATAGTCATGCAAAAATAGCCATGGTCTATAAAGTTAGAAAACATCCAAGTTCTCCATGTAGAAAAAGCTACAAAGCTACGTATGACTGAGACATACTTGTATCAGTTTAGAGACAGATTTTAGGAGAAAATGCTCTGGAATTAATGTTTCCTCTAAAGAGAAGGGCTCCAATAATCCCTTTTTGCCAATGAGAGAAATGAATACTAGTGGGTGCAAGTGAAAATAAACCCTGTTTATTAACAAAACAAGATACCCACAAGACAGAAAAATAAATTGAACCTTATATCCCCAACCCAGCCCCATGGCCAGGGGGCAAGGATGGTGGCTGCTCCCTTTGTCTCAGGAAAGGGAAGAAAAAAAAATCCATGCAGCAGCTCAGGCAAAAAGTAGATAGGAACCTGTTGAGCTTCTGGCTTTGGTCTGCTCCTCACAGCAGATGAAACTGGTGGGGTTTAGTGTCCTTTATTTGCTGGCCTGGGTCTTTCCCACCACCCCATAGGCTCCCTGGACTGCAAGCCGAAACAGATCAAGTGGAAAAATAAAACCAAAAAGAAACCACTGAATGATTTCTGCTGAAGTCCAGGGGGAAAGGTGGCGGAAGACAAAGAAGAGCTGCTTTCCTGAGCAGGCAGGGATGCAGGTGGAGCACAGGCAGTGAGCTAACAGTCCGAGGCGCAGCGCGAAGCGCGCCAGAGAGAGAACCGAGCCCGCTCCCGGCCTTCCCAGGCCCCAGCCCAGCCTCCTGCTTCATCTCCAACCTCTCCTGGCCTTTAGGGAATGAAGTACCACCATAAAATCCCCTCAAGACAGCCCTCCACAGGAATAGGCCAGAGAGTGAACGTTATGTAAATATTTTGTAATTATGATATGACCACAAAGCAGGCAGTTTTCCGGAAGTTCAGAAGATGTACCTTTGAAAACAAGGTTCCTGCATTACTGCATTGGCCTTTCTTCCTCATATCATGGAAAACTAATACACAGATTTGCATGCATAAACAGCCATAAAATGGTGGGATGACCCAAGACTCAAGTGCGAAGTACAAAGGCCCCAATTCTGGAAACATGTCTGTGCATGGTTCCACCGTAACCACCCTCATCTCTGCAGTAACTCACTGAACAAAGAGAAAATCATAAGAAAACCATTTTGTGTTATAAAAGAAAAAGGGTGAGGGTTGCTAGATTTCTATCTGACAAGCTCTAATTCATGCTTAGCTTCAACAAATTGAGGTGAGAGCTGTCAATATCTCTCCCAACTCTCCAAATAGTGTAGTATTTACTACACTTACTACTGTAGTATTTACTAGTAGGTGCTTAGTAGTACAGTACTTCTGAAGAGCAAAACCCAACAAAATAACCAATCATACAACCCCCAGCGCCAGTATGTTTTTTCAGTTTGCATGTGAGTCAGCTGAGATATGAAAGGGTAGTGGATTGAATTTGAACAGTGAGTGTTTCAAGGTGCTGAACAGTCTGAGGCTATTTGCTCTCACAGGCACTAAACACACACATTTCCCTTGGAATTTAAGAAGCTCAGGGTGCTTCTAGATGTAGGGAAATACCAACTCCCATTGCTGGGCTTTAAAAAATTGATTTTTGTTCTTTTCATAAAAGATTTTAGAATGTAAAATACTATTTTTAGAGGTTGTTTTGGTACTAACTGAGATTCAGCCTTGGTGGGAGAAAAAAAAAGACTTGGAGGAAAAATGATACTAGAGGTTTTGGAAGAAGAAATTTCATGTCATAGTGAAAGAATTGGAGAAGAGTATCCTCTTAAGATTACTCTTTGAGTGAAATTACTCTTTGAAAAGGCCAGCCTGACAGAGTTAATACAAGGGAGATTAATTACAGAGATAAGCATATTAAAATGAAGCTAGTTCTGGCAACTTAACTTCCACAAGGCAAAAAAAACCAAGAAAAATCAGAAAAATCCCTCCTCCTCCTTTTTTTAACACTTAGAAAGCCCCTGATGAGCTCATGTACCTAGGTCCATGTAACAAATATGGAGTGGAAAAAAAAAAGGCCACATACTGTAACCATCAGTCTTCTCATCCATCAGCATTTATAGATGAGAAATGGGAGAAGGGGCGTGCTAAAAATAAAATGTATTACTAAGATAACAGGAGAAAACAGAGACTTTTTTTTTCTCAGGGTTGACATTGTAAAGTTTTAAAAAGTCCTGTATGCAAATTACAAGCTCACACACTTCCAAAGCTGAGATTACATACCTATAAGCTGTGTCTTGCACAAGCTTTTCTGTTGAAATAGATTGAGATGTCATGAAGAATACCTTGACAGAGGAAGAGCTGGAGAGTCCCAAAATGACACGAGTATTCAAAGGAATGAAAGTTCTTGTCACTGTGCCCTAGAAATGCAGATGAAAACAGGTTTCATAAAAGTGTCCTTAGCAAATACCTGTTGGTGAAAGCATTTTGGAGGGCCCTGTTGTAATGAAGGAGAGGAAGCAGGTAGAAAACTCTTTTCATTGTCTGGGCAATGCAAATGCAGCAAAACCAGAAAATCTGGGCTCATATTTTTATGGGTTCTGCTAAGGGTAGATGTCCCCAACTGATTGATCTTATTTCCATTGACTGCTTAGTGCAATCTAAGTCTTCAGTTTAGATACCAAAACTAATTTTTTTAGGTTGAGAAAGTTGAAAGGGAGTCTCTGTGACTCATTCTGGGCTGAAAACATACAACCACTGCTTGAGTGTACATGTCATAAAAAAGCACCTATCATCCCTGTCTAAAAGCCCCTAAACTGCTTCCTTTCTGATATTGGTGTTTACTGCTCAGTGACAACAGAAAAGCAACTAAGGTGTGCACAGGAAGCTAAATGACTATTATTTCTTTTCTGTTTTTTTTTTTTCCTATGAGACACCCCCAAATTTGTAAATAGCAAATGGATTGCCTTTACGAAGGTGCAAATCCAGGAGGAAAAATGTTTGAAAAAATTAGGGCGTTGCTTTGAAGAAAAGCCTTCAGAGTTTTATCATTATTCCTTCCACAGGAAGATGTTGTAAGACATCCCTGCAAGCAGAGCCAATGTAGGTGTTTGGTGCTGCTTGAGTGTCAAATTCTGAGAAGTCAGCCCCACTTCTTGTAAGTGTACCAGGAAGTTCATCTCCGTGAGCAGGAGCAGAGGGCATCCATCTGAAAATGTTCTGCTTCTGTAGCTCCTCATACCAGCACAGCCCGTTTGTACAAAAGCATAAACAAGAGGCAGGGAGCTTTGCTGGTGTGAGGGAACAGGGAGCAGGGAGCTTTGCTGGTGTGAGGGAACACATCTCTGCACTCACCGTGTTTGCAGGCATTTGGTAAAATAAGCAAGGTTTTACCGGTATTAGTAATTTAGAAATATGTTTCCTTCTTTGATTATATTCTATTTTCTGCATGACTCTCTCGACATTTCCTTCATACTGCTTTAGGAAAAACCAAACCAGACTGGTCATACATCTCTGACTATATTTTAGTGATTATTTTTTAATTGGACTTTCTAACCCAGTGTTTAGTGAGGTAGCTCTCCTAGACAAAAGGAAAACAAATCACACTAATTTGGCACATCCACTTGAAAGCTTCTGTGGAGACTTTAATTTTTTTAACACTAGGATTCAGAGGAGAGCACTCTGAAAGCTTTGGCAGCAAAGGAGGAGAGAGCACCAAGCAGGGGAATTGATGGGCATATCCCTACTCAGAGTTTCTCCAGTGCTAATTATGCTGTTTCAGCTGCTGGAGCTTCACCTCCAGGTGCAAAGAAAGGCCTTCTTAATTACGTCCAGTAACTAATAGTATATATATTTTAAACAGACAGCTGCTAAGGAAATAAAATTCTTTCCACCTTCTCACTTGTGAATAGACGAGAGGATGAAAAGAAGTGGCTACCTGTAGAAGGCAATGATCTTATTGGTTACATCATTAGTTAGCAACAGATAACACTTCCTTCACTTGAGAGCCCAGTTTGATATCCAAAATGCTTTTTCAGTAATTTAACATAAAGAGTTTTCTGCATCTAACTGAAATTGTGGTCAGCATCCATAGCTCCATTATGTAGACATCTCATATTTAGTGTATGTACAGTAAATATAGAATTGCCCAGAAAATGTTGCTGAGAAGAAGGCAAACTATACCAGATTTATCCTTATCATTCTTCCTCCTTCTTCCAAAGTAATACAAAAACCATGGTTTGGCCTCTGGGCCACAGTGCTTTATTATTATCATGAGAAGAGGCAGGGCAGGGGCCACCAGTAAACCTCTACTGCCTAATGACCAAAATAAAGACAAACAAACAAAAAGCTCCCAGCACTATACAATTTACAGTGCAAATTGACAGTGCAATTGACAGTGCAAAAAATTCAAAGAAATGGATCTGTTGTAATTAATTTGAAAGGAGAGTGTTTGTAAAGGTAGTGTTCATGGCTTTAATATGGGCCCTCATTGTCTATTAAATCTAAAGCAATGAACAGTTTTAATAAGGGAGTGAATTTTAATATGTTTAGTTATAGATAATGCTACTAATGTGACTCTTCTACACAGTTTTAGTGCACAGTCCTAAACATTTTTTTGTCTAATTTTCTGTTCTCTCCTAGGTGGCTCTCCTAGTTATTGAAACACAGTGCAAAAATGACACTGAACCCCTAATAACATCCAATAGGAGAATCATTTCCAAGAGGGAAGCTTACTGCCAGGAGGATGAATACAATTTAGATAATCAGTGTTGCAAGAAATGTAGAAGTGGTGAGTATGATGTGTGTTGAGAAGTCATTACTGGAGAGGCATGAGGTGGTTTCCTGGATGCAGTAGTTCATTCCAGCTGTATCTTTGTTTTGTTACAGGACATTAGCCACTTCAAAGATATTTCTTAAGCTCAATGCACCAATAACGTCTCACTACAAAGAGTAGTTCTCTCGTAATGTGATTGTTAGAAAAGAGCCAAGAATTAACATGCACATATTTGAAAAAGGTTGAAAAAGTGAAAACACATGCTTTTGCCTACAGGATTCCATACATTTGTGGGTTTTCCAATTTTTCATGTAGTTTTGTTTAGTGTGTTCTCCTTCAGTATTAAATTGGAGGAAGAGTGGGGATAATCAAAAGTTACGTATACTGCATTCCTGGAGTGCATCTACACATGCACAAAGAATATACATTCCATATTTGGAATCAAAAGTATTTGGGAATAAAAATGAAATTCTGATGTTAGTCTTAGAGCTGGTGGCTGCTCTCTAAATTGTTGGTTTTCTGTCTCTACAGGTTTTGTTAAAAATGTCTCCTGCCCAACAGATGTTACCAAACACTGTGCTCCATGTCAGAAAGGAAAGGAATTCATAGATCACCCCAATGACTTAGACAAGTGTCGGAGATGCAAAATGTGTGACAGCCACTTTGGTAAGTCTATAGAAATAGCAACTGTAGCAATGACTCCTCTTTCACACAGGATTTCACTGAAAAGTCTCCACAATTCCTAGTCGTGGTTAGCACGCAGAGTCAAAACTTTTAGTGGTAGGACATGAATGAATTTGTGAGAAAGTAGTAAGTTTATCCTCCAGCTCCCTTTCATCAAGCACAAAGTAGGAAGACAAATAGTTGGTCCATTATTTCTCCAAATATCTGCCTTTGCTTAGCCAAAGCCCTTGCTAAGCTGACACTGTACAAACTGGTTAGAGTCAAGGAAGGCAAGTTCTCCCTCTTCTTCACCCGCTGTTTAAAAGAGGGGTATAAAAAGTAATGATTTTTTAATAGCGTTTCACAAATTGATAATGTTCTTTAAAACTGATTGTTGTCTTTTGAAAGACACTCAGGATGCAGTTTGGGACAGTGTGTGAGGCTGTGAGGCCAGCCCTCCTGGGGCAGAGCAGGGGCTCACCCAGCCAGGGCTCTGCAGTCAGCAGTGCAGGCACGAGGGGCTGTTCAGGGATAGCACAAACCAACCTGTCTGCTTTCTGGGGTCTGGACCCTGCAGTCTGTCAGCATCCACAGCTGAGGGAAAGGACACTGGAAGATCTGTCCCTGCCTAGTCATTTCAGTGTCTATTTATGAGCCCTCTGTTCATGAACCTGCTGGGTGACAGCAGAAATTCACTACCTGTTGCATATATACCCATCACAGATTTTTTTTAAAAATTCCATTAAACTTATCTCCTACCAGTTCCACCAGGTGTCCTGTAGATGTCCTCTGCTTGGATTTAGGGAATGACAGTTATTCATTCCTCATACTCAAAATCAAGTTTAGTGAATGGACAGACAGTTCTCAACTCCAATATGGGTGTACTCAGATCACCTGTTGGAATATCAATCTTTAGTCCTCTCCCCTTCCTTTAGGACCTCAATATGAATAGAAAACTTTCCTCTCATTTTCTACTATAATAAGCATTTTTGTGTGGGTGATGAAATTGGTAAGAGTGAAACAATTGAGTATTTTATATGTGTCACAATTATTAAAACTGAAGGGAGGAAAAGGGTAATGGCTAGTCACAATATTCCACTGACAGTAATGTAGTTCAAGAGAGGTCAGTAGACCGACAAGAGGAAAATTAACACTGAAGTTCCATGTGAACCATTCTTATGATCGTTCATATCCACTATTTCCATGAGTTACTTCAGCATTGATGTCACAGTAGAGCTTCATCAAATTTTGAAATATCAAGTAGTTTCAAAGTACAGCAGGGCACTGAATATAGTAACTCAAAAATTTGTTCTGTTTTTATATACCTATGAAAATAGCTTTCATAGTAGGGAGATACAGTAATTTTTAATGCAGAAGTATATTTTTCATGGATGGAGATAGCATTATCATATAAACTGAGGAGAGGAGAAAATTAATAATTTGTTTTGATTCTTAAGAGGAATACTTAACATGGATATGTTAGCCAAAAAAGAGACAGGGGAATTCCCCATCATTGGAGGTCTTCAAGAAAAGGTAAAACTTTTTGTCTGTCAGGGAGTGCAAAGAACCCATCTCCATTACCAAGTAGGGAGATTGGCTGTGTGGTCTTCTGAGTTTCCTTCTGGAAACTCAGAAGTTTTCAATACTAAATGGGAAAAAGAAGTTAGGATTTGGCTGTGCTGAATGAGTCCTCTCCTGAAGAGAACTGCACTGTGTGATGAGTTTCAGAGCTGCGCTGTGTGATGGATGAGCTTTCTGCGCTCCCGTCCAGCAGAGGTCTCTCTGGCAGCTCTGCCAGCCCAGCTCCTTAGAAAAGCTCCGTGTGTGTATTATAAAGCTAAGCCTTGCCAGTTCCAGCAGAGGTGGAGCTAGCAGCAAGTCTGAGGACAAGACTTTGTGGGCAGAAGCCTGCTTTTTCACACTAGTACACTTAAGAGATCTGTTTTTAGGGCTGGAGGTTGTGAAGAACTGTACCCCAGAAGAGGACACGCAGTGTGCCTGTGTAAAGAACCATTTCTGCAGTTCTACAGGATGTGACACTTGCACTCCATGTACCATGTAAGTTCATGCCTTCATCACTACATATGAAATTGTTAATATGTAATCACATTTTTTTTCCAGCTGGTTTCAAGGCAGAGGCTAAGGTAATCTATAACCTCAGGGAAGGCATACCAATTTTCCTTTGCACCTGAGCTGACTGAGTTCAGTCAGCTCAATTTGCAGCCAGGAAGGCTTTCCAAAAGCATGCAGAAAAAATTATGTATCCACTGAGTTTGCATATGCTTTTCAAAAAGTCTAATAAAGTATCTGAGCTTTCCTGTTGTCTTTGTGTGATCTGCTGTTACTTTGAAATATAATTTCATACGTTTTCCCACTGCCACAAATTTTCATGTCATTTTCGTACCTATTAAATTCCAAACCCCAAGATCAGGAATTTAGAATATGAAACTAGCATATTTATCAGCAAAATGTGAAATATTTTGCTGATAAAGCATCTCAGAAGATTTGATTTGCTCTCTGAACAGCTTAAGAGAGAAAAAACATTCCCTAATAATTTGTGTTCATATTTTCTCAGATGTGAAAGCGGTGTAATTGAAGAGCAATGTACTGCAGCTTCAGACACTGTGTGTGGAACCAAAGGTACCAATTAAAATGTAGCAAGGTGCAGCACGTGCTGTATTTTGAGCGGCAATTGCAATTGTCCTGTTCTACACACTGGCCATAGTAATTCCTGACAGCTCAGGGCCTCAGTCCCACTGTTCCCTCTACTGACCTGCAGAGTATGATTTTCCCTTGATCACTGTGCAGGTGTAGGGGCTGTTACCCCTCTTTAGGGGCAGCTCACCATAGGTTATGTCTTTAACATATTTGGCTTTTGTGTTAGGAGGGCTTTTAAAACCTGACACGGTCTTGTTTAAAATTTGGTGTGCTGCTGTATTGCATTTCTTGACTTAACTTTCATGCAAATTTTCCAATGTTCCAACAGATCCAGCAACGCTGTGGTTGATCATTGCTGGGGTACTACTACTACTATCAATAATAGCTGGAGCGATAGTCTGGTGTAAGTGATTCCCTGCTTATTCCTAGTACATAGTTCCTAGTTATACTCTGAATGAGGTATTTAGATGCTTATTCAAATATAATTTTATATTCTTGGAGTCCAAAGGAGAGATATCCTACCCTAAATTTTAAAAATGCTTTTTTTGTTTCAGACAAGAGAAGAAAACAGAAGGATCTTAAAATCAATGATCCAGGTAATGGAGTTTACAAAGGAGACCATGTAAGTATTGTTGCTTTGGTCATAAAAAACTCAGCTTTATGCAAAGAACTGTTTTCCATTTAAATTGCACTGGGTCTCCCCAAATATTTGTGTGCCTTTCTTCTATGACATGAATGAAGTAAATTTTACCACAAGAATTTTTTTGGGAGAAGTAAGAGAAACCCTGTATTACTTCTTCAGGATTGTTGGAATGCTTCCTAAATCACATAACCATGATCAAAACTTCACAAATCATCAGGCCTCCACCAACCCAGGATGCTTCTGTCCCCATGCATAATTCTAGGCATTAGGAGGTGATTCCCCAAACTTACCCAAGTCAAAAGAGGTCTGTTTGTCTGGTCTGACTCTCCCATTCATAAAACAGGAATCCTGGAGAAAACTAAAAGAAAATCATAGATTTATCATGAAATGTATTTATCCTCTTAGATAAGTGTGGGATTTTACAAAGGTTGTTTCTACTTATTTCTCTCCTGCCTTTTTTTTTTTTTCAGGTGGATATACCTCTTATAGTTGAAGGTAAGAAACAATTTATCAAAATTCAGTAGAAAGAGAAAACAGATACAGATAAAAAAGTCCTAAACTAAAAAAAAAAACAGAGTATTTTTGTGTAGACTTTGCCACTGTCCAGACCTGTCATGCCAGCACAAAATGAACACTTGCTAAAGAAGTGCCAGTTCATATAGTGCTCATCAAGGCACTTAGTGGCATCATGGCAATCTTGCCTCAGGAGGAATTTCTGTTGTATAGGGAGCAATCATGCATTGTCTACAAGTGAATTTCAGTTCTGCATGTGGTACAGACACTAGGAAACAGCAAACTGTTTCTATAACTGTGGATATTTATGACAGGGGAACAGTCCACAATGGGATTGAAGATTCACAAACCTACATTCTGTTAAAGAACAAATCCAGAGGAGTGGTACACAACAGGAAAAAAGATAAGCTCCAAGACTGTATCACAACAGAAAACCTGTTCTGTTTCACGAGCTCTCCCAATGCTATTTTGAGAAAAATGGGTACGTGAGAGGTGACCACACTTCCATGATAGAGAAGGACAGAATAGGTTACAGAGGGAACTGAGACTCTGTTTTAGGTGGTAGAAAGCCATATGGCTGCAAGCCTGAATCTTTGAAATACCTAGCATCTGGCAGGAACTTGTAAAAAGAGACCTGCCATGCATTGTAAAAAATCACACGTAAACCATACTGAGTCACAAATACCTGAAACTTAATTTGCTTTGGATAGAAGATCAAATCTGAGTGCAGGTGATAAAACCCAGTATGATAAAAGAGCCAGGTGCATTAATTTCATTCCTGCTCCTAGATGTTGACCTGAACAAATACATTCCTGGTATTGTGGCAGAGATGACACTCACAGAAGTCAAGACATTTGTTCGTCACCGTGGTGTGTCAGAACCTGCCATAGACCAAAGCATTCACGATTTTCCTGGTGATTCATCTGAACAGAAGATTAGGCTGTTACAAGTCTGGTATCAAAGTCATGGGATGAAGGGAGCCTATGAAACCTTAATAAGGAGCCTGAGAGAGTTAAAAATGTGTGCTGTAGCTGATAAAATTGAGAAAAAACTGAAGGCAGCTATTTCCAGCTCTCAGGAAGGGGGGCAGTCTTGCAATCCTGACACTGAGCAAAGCACTCAGGAGGGTGGAAACTCTTCCAGTGAGAGTGCTGAGCTAAGTAAAGCCTCTACTGCTAGTTTGGAAGAGACCTTGCACAGAGTAACTTGAAATTTATTTCTGAATTAGTATTTCTCTAATATAAATAGCAAAGTTTTAAAATGACATTTTCATTGGCAGTTCTGATTGAACTCAAGTAAGTTATTACATGTAAAAGGAATAATTGCAAATTTTGCAGCAATATCTTTCCTTTAAAAAAAGTTCTAGCCTTTTTTCGTTGTTAAGGACTTCAAGAAGTTTTATGACTTGTTTACTAAAAGGTGCAATATAAGACTCCAGCTATAGGAGTCATTATAAGAGGAAAGAAGTTATAATTTGAAGAAAAGGAATTGTTTAAATGCATGGTCCTGCATTATTTAATCAATGTAACATTCTACATACATTAAAAATGCAGGCTGTTCCTTTTTTTTTTTTTTTGAAGGGAAAGCTCATGTTATGAGTCTACATAGGAAGAGTACTTGAAAAAATAATGTTACCTGCCTTACACCTGATTAATCTGAAATATAGGTGTTGCTGTGTATGTTCTACTCTGCTGCAAATACAATTTCTATTTTTCATGAAAGCACTTCTGTGTGTATATGGAGTTTTGTATATGTGTGCAAGTTTTCTATACTAAAAGCTCTCAGTTCTAGGTAAAAATAATTATCTCTGTTGTTCTCAGCAATGTTTGTAAGCCTCTTCTAATGTTTGAAACCTTCAGAGAAATAGGAGCATGGGGTTAATAGAGTCAGCAGCACAACATCATTTCTGGAACGCAACCTTCAGTGTGTATGATGCTTTTCTAATGCAGAAATTGATACAATAAAAGCATCTTATTCGTTAAAAAAAATCTGCATAAAACATGACTTCTGTCTTTCTTATCGTGCAGTATATAGATGCTTTGTTTGAGTTTGTTTTTACTCAGGTTAGCAAATCAGAATTAAGGAGATCATTCTCATGAAAAAACACCTTACCTTTATTCTATCACCAAGTGCAGAGGACTCGGCTCCTAAATTCAAAGGACCAGTAAAGTGCTGGCAGCTTTGCTGTGAGGCCTTTCCCTTTCACACACCCATTTGTGCAAATCTCACACAGTCCTTCAACAGAAGGGGAGACTTCACTGGAAAGGTTGATTTTTCCAGATTACAGGGTAAGAAAGATGTCTTTCATTGGTTCTGTCATCAGTTCCCTGGAGAACATCTCCAGCCAGTATCAGGACTGAGCCAAAACAGGAAGAGAGCTACCTGGGCTGGCTCTCACCTGCCCACCAGGGTGTTGGGTCTGTGGGGTAGGGTCCCATGGCTGCCACCTGACCACAGGACCTGGAAAGGCAAGGAAAGGCTGGCCACAGGGTGCCAGAGGCTGGCAATCAACCCCTGCCAATGCTGGGTGCCCACAGCCATGTGGAGTTCCTCCAAAATGCCATGTAGCTGGAAGTGAGGTACCTTGTAAGGCAGTACATAGCCTTTGAAAACAGCTAAAATCTGTGCATGGCATCAAGCAGGAGCCTAAAGGGAAGGCAGGACGTAGCTTTGAACTCATTACCTGTTTCATAGACTTGACCTGTTAAAGGTCTCAATGGCACAGAGCACATTTTGCCCAGAACCAGTGCATGTTGTACAGCTCTTAAGCACCTTCCATGCTAAGCAGTCAGCAAAACCTTCCACCCCACTTTGGAGCCTCTAATCCAGCTGTATTTTCCTAAGTATATAATCCACTGCTATATTACCAAAATCCACACACTGTGCTGCTTTTTGAAGGAAAACCTTCAGGCTGCTGCAGTCAGATGATTCAACAGCCATGGGCCAAATTGTGCATCCATGGACTGATTACACCTGGCACTGTGTGAATGGCCTGTATCTATGCTCTCTGTGCACCCCTCTGACACACCATGACAATGTGTTGCTCCTGGTCCTGTTTGGCCACATACCTAAGAGAATAAAATATCATACATATAAAATATCATACACATACCTAAGAGAATAAAATATCTGCTTTTCAGAAAAGCAGCCCAGCAGTGGGGTCAGGTGTGCCATCATCTGTAGGATGCAGTTGTGTATAAGCCAAGACAGGAAGGGAGGAAGGAGAGCTCCATGCTCTCACATGCCCTGGTAGATAGGCAGCTCCCTATACCATGTCCCATTCAGGAAGGCATGCCTGTAGCTTAAAGCTGTGTTGGCAGATGCTTGACTTCAACTTTTTCTTCCCTTGGCTTCTGGCTTTGTCTCTCCAAGTGAAGCATCTGGCCAGCAGAAATGAAGGTGGTCCACCTCCCAGGGTTCCAGGGGAGCAAGGAACTGACCAATCTGAACTACAGCCATCTTAAAACAGAGCCACCAAACCTCATAAATTTCTGACAGAGAAATAAAATGATAATTTATCTTTCATCACACTGGAATTCCCCAACCTCAGTATAAAAAGGATGGTTTAAAAAAAGTCCCTGAGCAATGAGTCAGATTTTGTTCAGGAGAGGTCTGCAGGGCTCAACTCACACTGCCATTGACTCTGGTGGTTAGCATACATCATAATTTTTTGTTCTTAACTGTAACACTGTGTAGCAAACAGGAGAATTGATTATACTGTGCAGTTACTTTTCCAAAGGAGTCTGTATGTGTCTGCATTGCAGTCAGCAGTGCAGGGCAGAGCTGGATCAAGCTTAGAGTAATTGGATCGGGGACTGAAGGTGGTTAGTTCTGCTGGCCTGCAGCAGCACATCCAAATTTCCATTGCCTACCGCTTCTGACATAATTTTCAAACTAGGCTATATAAGAAAAATGAAACCAAAGCCCAAACTCCCCTGCTTTACAGAAACACAGCATCAGAAAAGCAAGTCAAAACTGAAAGAGAAACTTGCCCAGGGAATGACTTGTCACATTTTGAAAAGCAGATTACAAAGGAAAAGTTCTCTCTTCAGGAAGCCAAAATTTTGCAAAACAATGTCACGTGTCATGCAAATAGTACACCCAAAACAATTCTTATTTTAAAATAACTACAATAGAAGAACAGGAAAATAGAAAAAAAGGCCAGGGGGATGATCTTACTCAAGTTTCATGCAATTTGGAAGTGCCCACGTGTGAGATGTTTGTTCAGAAATTCCAAGGGTTGTTTTGCTGTGCACACCCACACCAGCTGTTCATCCATGCTGCAAAATGCAGTGCAGTTACAGCTGCTCTGCAAGCAAACCAAACACTTGAAGATGACAGAAACAAAATCAATATTATGTTGTAATATCGTACCAGAAGAACACAGGAATGGTTAAAGACAGTTCTAGTATATAGGACTGCTGCAATATGAAATAAATAATTTTCAAGGTTATTCTGCAGGCTGCCACTTCTTGAAAAGACATGCCTGAGAAATGAAGTGCTCAGTACAAAGAGGCTGAAATGTTTCTGCACAGATAGCATGACAAGCATATTGAAGTGTGAGAGCTCAGGCTTATTTCCTGTATGAAGGAGAGAAAAGGAAAAAAATACCAACAAATTCGTGAGAAGAATAAAAGAGTATTGGGAAAAGCCTTGGAGATAGCCAGTTTTCCTGTTTTGAGGGAAGATACAATCTCAAAACTCACATCCCTCTCTTAGTGTTGTCAATACTTTGAGTCTGGACATCAAAGGGAAACTCACATTCCTGCTATCCCACTGCTAGCAAGAGCAAAAACACCCACCATGCATATCTAGCCTCTAGCACAGAGCTGTGGTTGAGAATTATGAGGGATTTGGGAACAATCACAAAACAACATATTGTCAGCGTTTTTTGAAGACCTTTTCAGTGGTTTTAGTTGAAATTCCCTTCCAAACTGAAAGCAAGATTTTTAAAGCTTTCAGAGTGCTAGAGAGCCCTTTCCCATCACTTTACACAATGGTCTCTTGCTCCCTCAATATACTAGCAGTTGTGATAAAATGCAATTTATTTTCAGCCTAGTGGGGAATCACAAGCAAAAAATGTCTGTGACCAAAGGAATGTTGGAAAAATAGGTCCTGAACAAATGCAGGAGAGGAGTAAGTGACAAAAAGCATTGGCAGGAGGAAACCAAAGGCACAGACCTTGGGGAGCCAGCACTGAGCATCCCACACTCCTGGGGCATGCAGAGCAGAAAACACTGACCCTGTCTCCCCTGCATCTTCCCATGGTGATGTCCACGTGACTGGCTGCCTGTAGGACAGGATGGATCTGCCTGTATGGGTGTCTCTGGGACACGAACAAGAAGCTGATGAAACAGAAGAACCCGGTTTCATTTCCTGCATGTTTATCCTACAGTCAGTGATGGGATTGATACATTCTCCAGATTATCAGTATTGGAAGGTTTATGTTTCTTGGTCTTTTCCTAGTCCTTCCTTAAAACTACGTGAAAATCCCTCTCCAGACTTCTCTGGGACAGCTGAAGCTGCAGGGAATGTTTTATGATACTCCTCAAGCTGCTGTGAAGCCCAGGGAGGCCCCTGGCATGGCGCACTCTGTCCCTGTGGGGGCTGGCTGTGCCCTGGCACCCGGCTCCGCTGGGCTGGGTGGGGACCGGGGCTGTCACTGCAGCCCGTGGGAAGGGTGACCATGATCTGGGCTGCCCCAAAGAGTCTTGGGGTTCCAGGTGTGTGTCTAAGATACAAGGACAACACCTATTCCTGTACTTGGAGCGAGTGGAGCAGCAGCTAAATTCATACCAGACAGTGTCCCCTCATTCATCCAAGGATGCATAGTGGTCACTAAATAACTCAGTATTTTCAAGCTTCCCAGTCACATCTCTTCAGAATTAAGCTCCTTTAAACTTGTTTGAGCAGCCACGATGGGCAGCGGGGGCTGTCCTTGCCTGTCCCCGCAGGCAGGTGGCAGCCTGTGTCCGTGTGTCTGTCCCACGCGGCAGGGGGCAGCCTGTGTCCGTGTGTCTGTCCCACGCGTGTCCCCGCGGCAGGTGGCAGCCTGTGTCCACTCTCCTCTCTCAGAACCGACCCTGTCATTGTGCTGAGCCAGCTCTGGTTTTTGCATGGGATCCCCCAAATCGTGTTCCACAAGACTCAAAATGACACATGCAGTGCTGTGAAAACTCGGTGTGACAGCTTTGTGACAGTCCCCAGGTGCGAGGATGGGCACTGCCTGGCTCCCTCCAAGCATTCCTGGATCAGGCAGGAGATCCCACGCTGCTCCCAGACCACAGCACATCGCTTGGCAGAGCTCCTTGTAAACCTAAGAGCACATGGAAAAACGGTGTCATAACAACACATCCAGGCTGCAAACTGAGCTCTCTGCAATCTGCAGCTGGCACTGCACTGAAGTACGTGCTGCACTACCTGTGCCAACACGAATGTGCATTGCCTTAGTAAATATTCGCTAATAAAATAAATCAGTTGAGACTTAGACATTCACTTTGATTCTAGCGTGCACAACTGCCAAAATATAATCAAAGGTAGGTGTTGGCAATGCCTGTGAAAGCCTA